GAGAGAGATGAGATAGAGAGAGAGAGAGAGAGAGAGAGGGACTGAGAGAGAATCATAGAATCTTACAGCACAGAAGGAGGTCATTCGGCCCATCATGTTTATGCCGGCTCTTTGAAGAGAACTACCCAATTCAATCCCACTCCACCGCTCTCTCCCCATAGCCCTGCAAACTTGTCCTCCCCAAATAATTATCTACTTCTCTGTTAAACATTGTGATCGAATCGGCTTCCACCAGCCTTTCAGGCAATGGATTCCAGATCCAAACAACTCGCTGTGTGAAAATATTTTTCCTCAGCTCTCCTCTGTTTCCCTTAACAACTATTTTAAAGCGGAGTCCTCGGGTTACCGACCCACCCGCCAGTGGAAATAATTTTTCCTTGTTCACCATATCGAATCCCCACATAATTTTGAAAGCTTCTATTAAGTCTCCTCTGCTCCAAGGAAAATAATCCGAGCTTCTCCAGCCTCTCCTGATAACTGAGAGACAGAGAGAGAGAGAGAGAGAGAGACTGAGAGTGAGAGATTAAGAGAGTGAGGGGAGATAGAATGAGAGAGCGGGAATGAGAGAGTGAGACACAGTCGGAGAGGGAGACTGAGACTGAGAGAGATTGAGACTGAGTGAGCGAGAGAGACTGAGAGAGAGAGAGATTGAGAGTGAGACTGAGCGAGACAAAAAGCTGAGAGAGAGGTGGAACAAGAGAGAGACTGAGCGAGAGACTGAGAGGGAAAGAAGAGACAGATAGAGAGAGAGTGTGATGGAGCGAGAAAGAGAGAGATGGGGAGAGACACACGAACACATACTGACCTGAGCTCTCAATGGAGAGTGTGAATGTGTGAGAGGATGAGAGAGAATGTTTGTGTTTGCTGGGTCTCGCTACCTCTCTCTCTTCTCTTTCGTCTGTCTGTCTGTCTGTCTGTCTGTCTGTCTGTTTGTCTGTGTGTGGGTCTTTCTCTCTGTCTGTGTCTGTCTCTTTCTCATCTGTGTCTCTTTCTCTGTCTGCGTCTCCCTCTGTATCACTCTCTCTGGCTGTCTCTCTCCCCTCATTGTGATCACAGCCAAGCTTAAAAAAAACCATTGTGACAGAGAAAGGGTATAAACTCCCCCCTCACACCCCCCCCACTCACATAATACACCCCCCGCCCACCCACTCAGCCAAATTGTAGTCCCTGATCGATAATCAATAATAATAATTGATAATAATTGATATCAGTCTCTGATCAATATCAATCTTTGATCAAAGCGGTTCACAGGATAATAATAATCCTTGCATTTGACATCGTGCTTAGGGACGTCTCAAAGTGTTTCACAGAATATACTGCAAAGTGGAGTGACTGTATATTTTGTGGGCCAAACGCGGCAGCCAATAATGCTCAGCAGCCGTCCCACAAACAGTCGTGGATTGAGTGACCAATCCTTAACCATTTTTTAAAAACATATATAAATTAGATGTAAATTTCTTAACGTAATTTTAACACTCAATGGACAATAATTCTGCTGCCGAAGCATCTTAAATCCAAGGAATCTATTAATCTACATCATTGTTGTGTAGCTCAGTGATTAGACCACCCGCCTCGCAAGCAAGAGAACCTGGGTTCGATTCCCGAGCAGGTCAGAACGTTAGGCAAGTTTCCTTACTCCACACACAGACACACACACGAGCCTCTGTTTACCCAACAGTAAGCAGAAACCCGGTTGTTAGTTGATTCATGGATTGCATTTCCAGGGGTAATAATCCCTTCAAATAAAATAATAATAGTAAATTGGTCAGTTCAATCCACGACTGTTTGTGGGGACGCTGCTGTGTGCAATTGGCTGCTGCGTTTCATCCATAAAATATACAGTCAATTCACTTTACGTTATATTCTGTGAAGGGCTTTGACGTGATAAGGCGCTGTATTAAATGCAAGGGTTATTATTGTTGTTCTTCCTCTTTCTCCCCCCCCGCCCCGCACACCATCCTGAAATGTACTTTATGTGTTGGTTTGCCACTCTGTAACCTTGATTTACAAAGAAGCACCGTAACTGTGTCAGTAAACAACATACATTTGCGCAGAGAGAAATTCGATAGGAATCCAAGTGTGATAGTTTGCTGTAAGGAATTCTGTTGAACATTTTAACTGCCCTGTGAGGACAGCTTCAGAGCTGCAGCTAAAGTTGCCATAACTCCTGAGGTTTCCCTGACCACACGTGTGAAATGGTTGCCAGGGTGAGATGTAAAAATTGCTTGGTTTGAACCCAAATACCCAACTAACATGTCTCTTCTCTTTCCCCACCCACACTCCCCCCGACCAGCTCTCCAGCCCTGGAATATCTGGAAGGTCCCAGATGTGATCTGTGTTGAGTTTGCTGATGTCAGGCGGAGTAGGGGTGAGAGGGGCTGGAGCGAGGAGTGCGAAAAATCAACTCATAATTTCTGATCTGCTGATCACTGCTGAGAAGTGCAATTTTATGAGTGACTGGGGAGGACAAAATTATACTGATATATAATAATAATCCTTGCATTTGATCACGTCTTCGAGACGTCTCAAAGCGCTTCACAGGATATACTGTAAAGTGGATTAACTGTGTATTTTGTGGGCCAAACGCGGCAGCCAATTGTGCACAACAGAGTCCCCACAAACAGTCGTGGATTGAGTGTCCAATTGATTTATTTATTTGAAGGGATTGTTACCTGCAGAAAAGCGATCCACCAATCGACTAACAACTGGGTTGCTGCTGACTGTTAGGTAAACAGAGGCGTGTGAGGAATAAGGAAACTTGCCCAAGGTTTCGCCTTGCCCGGGAATCGAACCCAGGTCCTCTCGCTTGCGAGACAAGTGCTCTAACCACTGAGCTACAGGACACTTGGCTGTGTTGTTGCCCCACAGGTCAAATAGCTTGCTAACAGTCACTGTCCAGGATTCTCACACGAAGAGTTGGGGAAATTAGTAGCAGGAGCTTCCTGGTGCTGTATTCAGGAGAGGAATAATGGGAACATTGTAAGAAAACACGAGTGCAAATTTCGTAGAACTCAAGGGTCGTGGACCCGAAACTTTGACTCGCTTTCCTTTCTCCATGGCTGCTGCCCTGACTTGCTGAGTTGTTCCCAGCGACTTCTGTTGTTGTTTCAGATTTCCAGCGTCTGCAGCATTTTGCGTTTTATTTTCATTTCACAGTATATCCTGTGAAGCGCTTTGAGACGTCTCGAAGATGTGATAAGGCGCTGTATCAAATACAAGGATTATTATTATTATTGTTTCCCCACCCTCCCCTCCATCATGCCATTTGCATCTGGCATGAGGCTATGAATCTGCACTGACTCTGAGCAGCCCACAATGTCACTGGCGGGTAGCTATGTGCATTCTAGCCAATTACTGAAGGCACGTCTTACAATCTTCCACTGTAGCTCTCAGGGCTACAATGAAAACACAGGACGTTGTAAGAAGCAGTTCAGTTCTGAGTATCTTTATCTTTACAAAAAGCGAGCAAGTCCGTGGAGGAATCAGGGTAAAAGTGCACAAGGGAGAGCAGAGCGGACACAATTGAGCTTGAGTTTTACTGCTTACACCTACATAACTGAGACACTTGGGAATTGGCTTGTGCCTATTGTACCACCATTATGTCTACCAACAGCTCAGCTGAAAGCACGAATGTTTATCCAGAGATTGAGCTATTTGTCAAGGTAAGTTATTTTTTTTAGAAGCGGGCGAAAATGTACATTTTTCCAACCAAAATTGTTTCATTATTTTATCGGGTTGTTTTTATCGGGTTTGGTTTTTAGCTGGTATGAGGCACAGACCGATGGAGCCAATATCGCTTCGGGTACATTAAATGCCGAGCTTTGTTAAACGGGAACAAAGAATTGCTTTCATTGTGCATCATTTTAGCTGCATTATTCACTGCTCTTGAATAAAGGAATTATTCTTTAGCTTTCGTGGTTTCTGCGCACTTCAGTTTCTAAAATAAGTGGACAAGTGACACGACACAGAAGGATAACAGCTAATTTTTTAAATGCTCCTATTTTGTGTCTTATTCAAATCTTATGATGTTCTCGAAAGATTTATGTCATTTATACTTGAGTTCATTGAAAGTTTCTCCTGTTAGTCTGTTCCCCCCAGCCCTCTCTTCGTTTGTTTTCAACCTGGTTTGTTCCATTTATAATAACAATAATCCTTGCATTCGATATAGTGCCTTATCAAGTCTTTGAGACGTCTCAAAGAGCTTCACAGATATACTGCAAAGTGAATTGACTGTATTTTATGGGCAAAACATGGCAGCCAATTGCACCCAGCAGCGTCGCAAAAACAGTTGCGGATTGAGTTACCAAATTATTATTATTTTTTAAGGAATTATTACCCCGGAAAAACGATCCGCCAATCGACAAACAACCAGGTTCCTAATTACTGCCAGGTAAACAGAGGCGTGTGTGTGCAGTAAGAAAATTTACGCAATGTTTCTCCCTGCACGGGAATCGAACCCAGGTCCTCTTGCTTGATTTATTTGGAGAGCGCTCTAACTACTGAGCTACAGGATCCGCAATGAGCTTATGAACTTGATTCACTCAAAGCTCGTATTGCAATTTGATTTTTCCCGGTACAGATACTCTTAAGCCTGGTGATGGATTTCCGCATGTATCTGACGTTCGGCTGGCCAAAGAAACTGTTGGGATGATGTCTTAAAAGCCCTTCGAAAAATTTGCTGTAAAGTGTATTCATAGAATCTACACTGGTTGATAATGGTGAACCTCCTCTGTATTCTGTATTCTGCCTTTAGCCACTCTGCCCCCACCCTCTGGGACTCCATCCCACAGTCCTTCGGCCTCGCCCCCTCCCTCATCTCCTTCAAGACCCGTCTCAAGACCCTCCTACCCCTTTCCCTCCCCGCCCTCCACCCCTCCTGATCCCAACCACCAGCTCGGGTGCAGATCTCTGACTGTCCAGCGCCTTGGGACGTCCTCCTGATGTGAAAAGCGCCGTGCAAATGTCATTTGTTATTGTTGTTTCGACATTATTTTTTCTAGGCTGGTGGTGATGGAGAAAGTATTGGAAATTGTCCATTTTCCCAGCGACTCTTCATGATCCTCTGGCTCAAAGGTGTGATATTTAATGTTACCACAGTGGACCTGAAAAGGTAAAGCTCTATTAATACGCCGTGTTACTATCGGGCCTTTAGCATCCATTGTATTCCAATTGTATTCCCTCCATTGTAATTTTTAAAGCACAACTTAGTTTTAACTTGAAAATACAACGTAGAGCATCTTTCGTGTCGGGAGGACATCCAAAATGAAAGTGCAAAACACCTGGTTGTTAGTCGATCAGGTTATAACCCCTTCAAAAAAATAAAAATAATAAACAATAATAATAATTTGGTCACTCAATCCACGACTGTTTGTGGGACACTGCTGTATGCAATTGGCTGCCACGTTTCACCCACAAAATACACAATCGGTATATTCTGCGAAGCTCTTTCAGGCGTCTTGAAGACATGATAAGGCGTTGTATCAAATGTGAGGAATATTATTATTGTTGTTATTAATTAATCGTGTGTTCATTGTGTCCCTACAGAAAGCCTGCAGACTTGCAGAGCCTGGCTCCAGGCACCAATCCACCGTTTTTAACCTTCAATGGAGAGGTCAAAACAGACGTCAACAAGATTGAGGAGTATCTGGAGGAGAAACTGGTACCACCCCGGTCCGTTCTGGTCTAATCTGTGGGAAATGAATTAGCATTCGTGGTTTCAGCGGAGGTTTTTTTCCACCCCCGCCTCATTGCCCGTCTCCATCTGTACCATTCTCCTTTCGAATGGTGCCACGGGATTTTAATATCCACCGAACAGGCAGACGGGACCTCGGTTTAACATCTCAACAAAACGACGGCACCTCTGACAATGCAGACCTCACTCCCCAGCTTTCCATTGGGATGTCAGCTTAGGCTATGTGATCCAAGTTCCGACATGGGGACTTGAACCCACAACCTTCTGACTCAGAGGCGAGTGTGAGCGCTACCACTGAGCCAGGATTTATCGCCATGTTGCCAACAAGGGCACGGTTATACCACCAGACCAATATCTTTGAGTCTATTTTTTGAATATATTATTTTATATTGTATTATATTTTGTTTTATATTTAAATATTAAATATATTGTATCATATTTTGTCTCCACCCAAAAGAGGTTGCTGGATCCACTCAAATTTTCAAGACTGAGGTGGAGAGATTTTTTGTCAGGTCAGAGTTATGGACAAACGAGAGGACCTGGGTTCGATTCCCGGGCAGGGCGAAATGTTGGGCAAGTTTCCTTACTCCACACGCCTCTGTTTACCCAGCAGTAAGTAGGAACTCGGTTGTTAGTCAATTAGCAGATCACTTTTCCGGGGGTAATAATGCCTTCCAAAAATATAAAATAATAATAATAATTAAGTCACTAGTTTGTGGGACACTAATTTGCGCAATTCACTGCCGCGTTTCGCCCACAGATAATGCAGTCAATTCACTTTACAGTATATTCTGTGAAGCGCTTTGAGACGTTGCGAAGAAGTGGTAAGGTTCTATGTCAAATGCAAGGATTATTATTGTTATTATTATTGTTTATATCAAAGTCAAATCAATACTTATTGACCATCCTGTTGCACAACTCTGGTGCAATGAGTCTTCAATAAGATTGTTACCTAAAGGTATAAACTCCGTGCCCCCCATCACACCAGCCAGGCTCCACTGGCTCCCTATCACAGAATGGATCGATTTCAAGATCCTCTCACTCATCTACAAATCCCTTCATGCCTTAGCACCTCCCTACCTCACTGAGCTGCTTTCTCCCCACTCCACTACCCGCTGCCTCCGCTCATCTGGCTCTGGCCTCCTGCTTGTCCCTCGCGCTCTCCGCTCCCCCATTGGTGGCCGCGCTTTCAGCCTCTATGCCCCGAAGCTTTGGAACTCTCTCCCTGCCATTCCTCTGCCTCTCCTCCCCCTTCCTCTCGTTTAGTTCCCAACTGAAGACCTTCCTCTTTGACAGTGCTTACGGTCACCTCCAATCCCCCCTGGCTTGGGGTCAGGGTCCACTACTGTTAAGCACTCTGAGACACTGGCCCGTGTGAAGGGCGCTATATAAATGCAAGTTGTTGTTGTTGTAACGGGCTGTTCTGTAGGAATTGTGTAATAATCTGTGGAATTTTCTAGGTACCCAAAGCTTGCTGCCAAATATCCAGAGTCCAATTCTGCCGGAAATGACGTGTTTGCCAAGTTCTCAGCCTACATTAAGAACACGAGGAAAGATACAAATGAAAGTAAGTACATCTGCTACACTGGGCTCTGCTGGTTATTAATAATTTGTGTGGATGGCAGTGTGGCCTTCAGCTCCCACTCTTTGGAACGCTAATCCCTTTGCCTCGCGCCCCTTCCCTCACCTCCTTCAAGACGCTCCTCTTCGATCGTGCCTCCTGTCACCTTCCTATCCCCTACCTTCCCTGCCCTCCAACCCTCTTAATCCCCACCCATAACATAACATAACATAACATAACATAACATAACATAAGATAACATAAGATAACATAACATAACATAACATAACATAACATAACATAACATAACGTGTAGGAGCAGGAGTAGGCCATTCGACCCTTCGAGCCTGCCCCGCCATTCAATCATGGCTGATCATCTAATCTAACTCCAGCTAATAACCTGACCCTTCCTTATCCCCATATCCCTTAATCCCTTTTGTAATAAGAAATATATCTATCTCAGTCTTGAATATGTTCAAGGACTGAGCGTCCACAGCCCTTTGGGGTAGTGAGTTCCATACATTCACCACCCTTTGAGTGAAGAAGTTCTTCCTCAACTCAGTGCGAAAGGGCTGCCTCTGATTTTAAGGTTGTGACCCCTGGTTTTAGTTTCTCCAACCAGGGGAAACAATCTCCCACTATCTACTCTGTCATGCCCTTCGATGATCTTATAGGTTTCTATAAGATCCTCTCTAATTCTTCTATATTCCAGAGAATATAAACTCAAATTGGTCAGCCATTCCTCGTAACTCATCCCCTTCATCCCTGGTACTATCCCCCTCCAAGGCAAGTACATCCTTCCTTAAATAAGGAGATCAAAACTGCACACAGTATTCTAGGTGTGGTCTCACCAGAGCCCTATAGAGTTGCAGCAAGACTTCCCTACTCTTATACTCTAATCCTTTCATAATGAATGCTAACATACCGTTTGCCTTCCTAATTGCTGCTGCACCTGCAGACTAACTTTCTGTGATTGGTGTACAAGGACACCCAAGTCCCTCTGGACGCTAACACATTCCAATCTCTCCTCTTCTACAAAATAACCCTCTCTACTATTTTTGCTACCGAGGTGGATGACTTCGCACTTCCCTACATCATACTTCATCTGCCACCTACCTGCCCAATCACCTAACCTATCTATGTTGCGCTGCATTTTTTTATATCACATCCTCTGTGTTAACACTTCCTCCTAGTGTTGTGTCATCCGTGAATTTAGATATATTAACTTCGATGTCCTCATCTAGATTATTGATGTAGGTGGTAAATAGCTGAGGCCCAGGGACTGATCCTTGTGGCACTCCACTAGTCACATCCCACCAATCTGAAAAGGACCCGTTTATCGCTACTCTTTGTTTCCTACCCGTTAACCATTCCCCAATCCACGTTAATATGCTCCCCCCAATTCCATGGGCCCCTATCTTTTGGACTAACCTTTTCTGCGGCACCTTATCGAATGCTTTCTGGAAGTCCAACTAGACCACATCCACTGATTCACCCTTATCTAGTTTACTGGAAATGTCCTCAAAAAACTCTATGAGTAATAATAATAATCCTTGCATTTGGTATCGCGCCTTATCACGTCTTCGAATCGTCTCAAAGCGCTTCACAGGATATACTGTAAAGTGAATTGTCTGTATATTTTGTGGGCGAAACGCGGCAGCCAATTGCGCACAGCAGCGTCCCAGCAAACAGACGTGGATTGAAGTGACCAAATTATTATCATCATCATTATTATTATTATTATTATTTTCCTGACTGTCCAGTGCCTTGGGTTGTCCTCCCAACATGAAAGGCCATATACAAGTATAATTTGTTGGTGTTGGTCTGTGTGAGTGAGGTGTTCGAGTTGAGATTGTGTTTCTGCCTTGGGACACGTTGCACTGAAACAAGTCTGGTCCAGGAGACGGTGAGAATTATATGACAGATCGGCACATTGCCACCTGGTGGCTATACTTGCTTATAATAATAATAATAATCCTTGCATTTGATATAACACCTTATCATGTCTTCGAGACATCTCAAAGCGCTTCACAGAATATACTGTAAAAAATTGACTATATGTATATTTTGTGGGCGAAACATGGCAGCCAATTGAGCACAGCAGCGCCCACAAACAGTCGTGGATTGAGCAACCAATTTATTTATTTATTTATTTATTTGAAGAGATTATTAGCCACAGAAAAGTGATCCCCCAATCTAGTAACAACCGGGTTGCTCCTTACTTACTACTGGATAAACAGAGGTGTGTGTGTAGAGTAAGGAAACTTGCCTAAGGTTTCGCCCTGGCTCGGGAATCAAACCGGGATCCCCGAGAAGCTATCTTTAAGCAGGCTTGTGAATTGGTGTAGTGACTGTTCTTTGATGACAGGTTTGGAAAAGGTCTTGCTGAAAGCCCTAACGAAGCTGGACGACTACCTCAACACCCCTTTACCCGATGAGATCGACGCCAATAGCACAGAGGACAATGTGGTTTCCAGGAGAAAATACCTGGACGGAGAGGAGTTGACTCTGGCAGATTGTAATCTCTTGCCCAAACTCCACATTATCAAGGTTTGAGTGACTGCAATATTGATGTACATAGATTCATAGCCACATAGACATAGAAACAGGAGAAGGCTATTCAGCCCCTCGAGCCTCTTCTGTTATTCTATAAGATCATGGCTGATCTGTACTTCAACTCCAATAACCCGTCCTTGGCCCATATCCCTTTATACCCTGACCTAACAAATATCTATCCACCGCTGTCTTGAAAATATGAATCCAGCCATAATCCACAGCCTTTTTGGGGAGAGAGTTCCAGAAGTCCAATCTCCTTTGGGTGAAAAACTGCCTCCTGATTTCACTCCTAAATGGCCTAGCGCTAATCTTAAAATGATGCGTTCTCTTGTTCTGGATTCCCCCCACACACCAGAGAAAATAGTTTCTGTGTGGCTGCCTTATCGAATTTCTTCATTATTTTTGAAAACCTCAATTAGATCACCCCTCAACCTTCTGAACTCAAGAGAACAGAGACCAAACCCTAACCCAACCCTAACCCTTAATTCATCAGATGGAGCCTGAAATTTCCAAAAGTTACTGTAGCATGTAGCTAATTATTTGGGGAGGACAAGTTTGCAGGGCTATGGGGAGAGCGCGTGGGAATGGGATTGATTTGGAAGCTCTTTTCAATGTGTCGGCACTCACATGATGGGCCGAATGGCCTCCTTCTGTGGTGTATATTTCTATGATTCTATGATGTGTAATATAAGTATTTTCTGATATCTTGCATTCTACTTTTGAGTATTTAGATAATCCTCGATAATATAATAATAATAAATAATTCTTGCATTTGATATAGCACTCATCACGGTGTCGAGATGTCTCAAAGCGCTTTGCAGAATACACCGTAAATTGAATTGACTGTATTTTATGGCCGAAATATATACATTCCTTGCATTTACATTTTGATAGCTTACTTTATCATTTTTTTCCCCTGATGTGAGTCGTCAACATACAAAAATAGACCTCTGCTGTTTTTCCATCTGACAGGAGTCCTGTTGCCCAGTGGTTAGAGCACTTGCCTCACAGGCAAGAGGACCCAGGTTCGATTCCCGGGGAGGGCAAAACCTTAGGCAAGTTTCCTTACTGCACTCGTCTCTGTTTACCTAGCAGTAAGTAGGAACCCTTTTATTTATTTTGGGGAATAATCCTTCCCAAAAATAATAAATAAATAATAATTGGCAATCAATCCACGACTGTTTGTGGGACGCTGCTTTGCGGAATTGGCTGCCGCGTTTCGCCCACAAAATAAACAGTCAATTCACTTTACAGTGTATTCTGTGAAGTGCTTCAAGACGTCTCAACGACGTGATAAGGCGCTGTATCAAATGCAAGGATAAATAATTCATCTCACTCTCACCTCTTCCATTTCCTTCGCTAATTGTTACCCCCGTGGCTTCCCTCATTAATTTCAGTACCAAACGAGGATCAGTTGGGGCTACAACAACAATTTGCATTTATATAGTGCTCCTCACCCCAGGTAGAGTCCCAGAGCGCTTGACAGTGGTGAAGCACCACTCCCGAGCAGGGGGGAGGAGTGGGTGAGTAAATGTCCCCTAGAAACTGGGTGGGCTGAGGTGAGTACTTCATTAGTTCACATCAGTCCCCCAACAAAGCAGAGCATCTTTTAACATATAAAGTGGTGGGGAAAATCCCTACCTGCCCCTAGGAATTCCCGAGCCAAAGTTTCAAAATTCCCCACCAGTAAATTGCCCTTCCATAATAATAATAATTATGATAACAATAATAGTTATAATGATAAAAATAATAATTTTAAAGGTCACAGTGATTTTGTCAGCCGTCACCCAAGCCGACTCCGTTTAGGTAGAATTCAACAGAATTTTAGGCCAATTTTACAGAATATTATTTGATAATTAAAGACACTGTATGACTATTGCTTATTAGATTCATGCTTTCATTTCATTTTAAAGCCCTCTAAGACACCGTCATGAATGAAGGGCGCTATATAAATGCAAGTTGTTGTTATTAATCATCCTAAGGTATGAAAAGCGTACTTGAAGCATTCCTGTAGAAATCTGTTTTTAACGCCTCTGGATGTGGGATAAAAGTGTCCCCTTTGAGTTCGGTCTTTACCAGTGATAATTCCTTGGAAAAAGTGCCCTAAGAGTGAGATCTTAATGATCCTTTTTTGGTCTGTGATTGTTCCCACATCTTTGTGGAATCATAGAATTATCCACACCGGCTCTTTGAAAGAGCTGTCCACATCAATCCCACTCCCCTGCTCTCTCCCCATCGCCCTGCAGATTTGTCCTCCTCACAAATATCTATCTACATCTCTCTGGAAAGTTGTTATCGAATTGGCTTCCACCAGCCTTTCAGGCAATGGATTCCAGGTCTAAACAGCTCACTATGCGAAAGCATAGCTCCTCATCTCATCTCCCCTCTGGTTCTTTTGGCAACTATCTTAGATCTGTGTCCTCTGGTTACTGACCCACCCACCCGCCAATGGAAACAGTTTTTCCCTGTTCACCCTATCGAATCCCTTCATAATTTTGAAAGCCTCCATTAAATCTCCCCCTTAACCTTCTCTGCTCCAAAGAGAATAATCCTAGCTTCTCCAGCGCCTCTCCTCATAACAGAACTCCCTCATTCCTGTTACCATCCTGGTTTCAATCGAATTAACGCGTCCGTTCTTTTTTCTTGTCCATTCATCAGCTCGTAGCGCTGAAATATCGCAATTTTGAGATCCCGGCAGAAATGACTGGGGTCTGGAGGTACCTGAACAATGCTTACGAGAGAGAAGAATTTCTCAACACATGTCCAGCCGACAGAGAGATTCAGGTCGCGTATTTGGATGTGGCGAAGAGAATGAAATGAGTTCATTCCTGTGTGAAGCAGGCCCACCCTGGAAACGATACACACTTGATATGAGTAAGAAGGAGAGAGCGCTTTATTTTTGTTGGATGCGTCACTTTTCGAAATCTCTTGCGGTATTTGGACAATATTCTTTTCATTCTTGCGTTTAGAATAAAATTGTTTTATCGTTTTGACTGATTTTGTTTTCTCCCCCACCCCTCTCGAGCTTAGAATGTAACGGTAACGACTTCAAAGTAACGTTTAGACATTTTCAACAACAACAAATTACATTTGTGCAGCCGCCTTTCACGTTGGGAGGATGTCCCAAGGCGCTGGATAGTCAGGGATTTGGACCCGAGCTGGGGGGTTGGCATCAGGAAGGGATGGAGGGCGGGGAGGGTGTGCGGGTAGGAGGGTGACCGAAGGCGCGGTCGAAGAGGACGGTCTTGAGATGGGCCTTGAAGGAGGGAATGAGGCGGAGGCAATGTGGAATGGAGTTCCAAAGTGTGGGGGCAGGTAGGCTGAAGGCTCGACCGTTGGGGTGGAGGGGCGGGGGACATGGAGCAGGCTGGAGCCCGCTGAACAGAGGGAGCGGACGGGTTGATATTGAGTTAGCGGGTCACAGAGGTAGGAGGGAGACAAGGTCATGAAGGGCCTTGGAAGCGAGGACGAGGATTTTGAACTCTATCCTCTGGGGGATGGTGAAATTACAGATGTAATTTGTCGTTATTCTCACTATTGGATCTTAACAATGATCTCAACTTTTACGTAGGATTCTAATTCATTTTTCTTCTCCGCATTTTTTAACAATATAAAACGATTTTGATTGTATCTTCTTACTTCATGTTCCGAGCACGTGAATCTCAGGAACGATGTGCATGTATATAATATATATATTAAATCTTATATATTTTAAAGCATTTATTTTACTCCGATCTATCAATCGAAATCAAACTGCTGTTATAAATAACGCTTGCACTTGCACATGCCTCAAAAGCTTCATCAGGTTTACTGTAAAGTGTAGTGACTGTGTATTTTGTAGGTGGACACGGCAGTCAATTTGCACACAGCAACGTCTTGCAAACAGCCATGAAGTGAGTGCCCAGTTTCATTTGGGGGCTTGTTGGCCCCTCTTCCCTCACCTCCATCATCACAAAAATGAAGCCCACCACCTGCTCCCTTGACCCATCCCCACCCCTCTCCTCATCTCCTGCCTGTTTTAACCGACATTATCAACTTCTCCTTATTCACTGGCAATGTTCCCACCCTCTAAAAACAGCTATGCTTCACCCTCATCCTCAAAAAACCTTGCCTGGACCCATGCCTACTCTCCAGCTATCATCCCATCTCCTACCTCCCTTTCCTCTACAAGGCCCTGAAATGAGTCGTCGAGTCCCAGGTTCGTTCTTTCCTCTCCTGCCATTCCCTCTCTGAACCACTCCAATCGGGGTTCCATACTGCCCACAACACAGAAACAGCCCTGGTCAAAGTCACTACCGACATTCTATCCATCTGCGACCAGGACTCTCTCTGCCACCTTGTCCTCCTCGACCTCTCTGTGCCTTCGACTCTGTTGACTACTCTATCCTCCTCCACTGCCTCTCCTCTCAGCTCAACCTTCATGGACCTGCCTTTGCCTGGTTCAAATCCTACCTCTCTCACCGTCTCCACTTTATCTCCACTGATGACTTCTCCTCTAGCCCTTGTGCCGTCTCGTGCAGCGTTCCTCAGGACTCTGTCCCTCCGTTTCAGCAACTATATACTCTCTCTTAATGACATCATCCGCGGATATGGGGTCAACTTACAATTGGGCGCAGATGACACCCAACCCGACTCCAGGACCACTGTTGCGTCACAGACGGCCAGTGGGACATCAAGTCCTGGACGAGACAAGACCAAGACTCTCCTCCTTGGCTCCCGTCAGTGCCTCCACACCTCTTGCCGGCGCTGATAGCATCTCCCTCCATGGATGCAACAACAACAAATTACATTTACACAGCGCCTTTCACATCTGGAGGACGTCCCAAGGCCCTGGACAGTCAACGATTTGGACCTGAGCAGGGGGTTGGGATCAGAAGGAGTGGAGGGCAGGCAGGGTGGGAGAAGGAGGGTGGCTGAAGGCGCTGTTGAAGAGGAGAGTCTTGAAAGGCTGAAGGCCTGGGCTGTCACACCATCGGATTCATGGAGCAACCTTCAATAATCAAATATTATTTTTAATAATCAAGCATCTTATTAAGTGGGCAACAGGTATTTTCCCAATCACAGACGCGTTGACAGTATTATCGCAACCTGGCTAAGATTTGCATGCTCCTAACAAACCACAAAACAATGATAATAATCCATACATTTATTTCTTACCGGGAATCGAATCCAGGTCCTCTCACTTGTGAGGTGAGAGTGCTCTAACCTCTAATACATTACAGGATTCCACTTGTACAATTAAATTGGGATTCTGAAATTAATCCAGCACCTTGCCTCTACGTCTCATGGAGCCAATGCAGAAGCTCATTTTCCTGTTTGACCCTCAACTGCCCTTCATCCCCCACATCCGTGCCATGACCCATTCTGCCTTTCCCCCCTCCGCAACATCGCCCGGCTCCACCACTGTCTCACACCATGGGCCGTCGAGACCCTCGTACACATCTTCATTACATTCAGGCTCGACTATGCAAACTCCCTACTGACATTGTCCACAACTCCTCCCTCCACAGGAACATCCAGAACTCTGTAGCCCGTGTCCTCTCCCGATCCTATCACTCCCATCCTCGCTCGCCTCCACTGGCTTCCCATCACACAGAGAATACAGTTCAAGATCCTGGTCCTCACCTTCAAAGCCCTCCATGGCCTCACTCCCCCCTACGTCTGCGACCTGGTAACCCTTATCAACCTGTCTGCTCCCTCTGCTCAGTGAGACCCGCCTTGTTTGACTTCCCCCGCCTTGCCTGCCCCACCCTTGGCGGTCAGCCCTTCAGCTTCTCTGCCCCCTCCCTCTGGAACTCCATCCCACAGTCCCTCCGCCTTGCCCCCTCCCTTGCCTCCTTCAAGACCCGTTTCAATACCTTCCTCTTCATTCGTGCCTTCGGTCACCCTTCTAACCCTAACCCCTGCCCCCTACCCCTCTTGATCCCAACCACCACCTCGAGTACGGATCCCTGACTGTCCAGTGCCTTGGAACGACCTCCTTACGTGAAAGGCGCTGTGTAAATGTTGTTGTTGTACTCTTTTTGAATAGTGCCATAGGATCTTTAATGCCCATTAGGACTAGGTAGGACCAGGCACTTTTGACAACTCAGAGCACACCCAGTCCTGTAGCTCATTGGTTAGAGCGCTCACCTAGCAAGTGAGAGATTTGGGTTCGATTCCCGGGCAGAGCAAAAATTTGGACAAGTTTCCTTACTCCACACACACACACTTCTGTTTACCCAGCAGTAAGTAGGAACCCGGTTGTTAGTCGATTGGTGGATTGATTTTCCGGGTGTAATAATTCCGTCAAAAAAAAATTGTTCACTCAATCGCTGCCTATTTGTGGGACACTGCTGTGTGCAATTGGCTGAGAATTCTATGCATTCCACCTACATGTGGAAATCCCAGAGATAGGTTGTTGGAATGGAAGGCGCACTCTCTCTCTCTCTCTCCCTGGAGGAATGAATGCTGCTTATCTAATTCCGGAAAGTACTAGGCGCAGGTTGGCAAGAGCCAAGGCTTGGGGGGAGCCCAGCATATGCATTGGGGTAACTGCTGGAGTCTAACCAGCTAAAACCACGTGGCTTGGCGATTGATATCGCTGTCTGGCCAAGCTTTCCCGCTGCTTGTCCAGCTAGGACCACCCTCCCCGTTAGGGCCTTGAGTTGCAGGGTTAACAGGAGCTGAGTGGGAGGATTCCCTGCCCCCAGTGACTAGTCGGCTCTTCTGGGTCCTGCCGATGAGCCAGGCCGGGCTGTGCTGTCATCAGCAGCAGATGGAGGAAGATATGCCCTTCACCTTATCTCACACAGAAAGGCATCTATAGTTACGGGAAGCTTGCAATTCTCAATGGATCAATTGTTTCCACACTTTCACTGGTCTGTGTTCGGTACAATGTGCAATCTGGAATCTCTACGCCTTCGAAACTCCACAACACACGAAGAAACGTTCACCAGAGAGTCTTTTTACTTTGAAAGGTAAATGTCAGGATTTTGTACCATGGAAACTACAAATGGAATTCAAATATAAAAAAAAACTTTTTTTTTGTTGCCTTATGTAGTGCTTTGGCAACCAGATCCTTTAACTCGTTGTTTGTTTGTTTTTTAATAAAAAAGAGCAACTTTTATTTGGATAGACTTCATTTAAATACACAGTTAGCCGTTTTTTTTAGCGTATAATTTCTACACCAGGCAGAAACGTGGTCTGATAGATTTGTTTTAATTCTATTTGAATAATGTTGAAAGTCTTGAAACGTTTGGGTTTCGTTGTCAAGTGTTTACGTTCCTCGGTCACCTAAACTGGTCCGTCCAGAGGGCAGTGTTAATCTGGGGTGTTCTCTAGATGCAGTATTTCCAGAAGCAAGCTGAAATATAAACACAAATATTTGAGATCGGTTCAGTTCTAAACTATTGTTTCTTCAAATGTTAAACGCTGAACTGATAAGATCCTACACTTTCACTCTTTGTCTCTATTATCCCCCGAGACCATTTCTGAACCATAAATCTTTAGCTGGTTGGGCACAATTGTTAATACAATACAATACAAAATTACGTTTGTAAAGTGACTTTCCCGTCGGAAGGACGTCCCAAGGTGCTGAGTCGTGAATGTTGAGTTGTGAGAAAGATCTGTATTTGGAAGTGTAGGGAATCTGCTGTTCTTTTGAACGCTGCTAAAATAAACATTTTGGAAAATAATAATAATCCTTGCATTTGATATAGCGCCTTACCACGTCTTTGAGACGTCTCAAAGCGCTTCACAGGATACACTGTAAATTTTGTAGGTGAAACGTGGCAGCCAATTGCACACAGCAGTGTCCCACAAACAGTCGTGGATTGAAGTGACCTAGTTATTATTATTTTTTTTTTGAAGGGGTTAGTATCCCTGGAAAAGAGTTCTGCCAATCGACTAACAACCGGGTTCCTACTTAACGCTAGGCAAACAGAGGCGTGTGGAGTAAGGAAACTTTTTGCACTGCTGGGAATCAAACCCAGGTCCTTTCGTTTGCGAGGTGAGCGCTCTATAATAATAATAATCCTTGCATTTGATATAGCGCTTTTCAAGTCGGGAGGACATCCCAAAGCATTTCACAGAACACACTGTAAAGTGAATTGACTGTATATTTGTGGGCGAACGCGGCAGCCAATTGCGCACAGCAATGTCCCACAAACAGTCAAGATTGAAAATGACCAATTTATTATTGTTTTTGGTTTTGGAGGGATTATTATTAGGCTCTGTGTGGAGTAAGGAAACTTGCCCAAGGTTTCGCCCTCTGCCTGGAATTGAACTCCGATCTCTCACTTGCAAAGCGAGTGCTCTAACCACTGAGCCACAGGACTCCAAATAAACATACCTCGCTTCTTTGACTTCTTCCCCGCCTGTTGTGTTGGTGTCCTTGATCCTCTGCCATGTAAAGGATTGACAGGTGACGCTTCATCATTCATAAAATCTTCATCAAGAGGAAATCCACCTTGAGTTCCTTCCGCAAAGTCCTGCACAGCAATCAAACCCAATACATATAGTGCATGCAGGTAAATGAGTGTAAGAGGACTCGAGGTGTAAAAATGAAAGGGCGAGCTCTCCTCCAATGGCTCAATGGAGCAGCGCTTAAAAATATAAATAGAAAATAAATAATTTGGTCACTCAATCCACGACTGTTTGTGGGACGCTGCTGTATGCAATTGGCTGCCGCGTTTCGCCCACAAAAGATATATTCTATTCACTTTACAGTATATTCTGTGAAGCGTTTTGAGACTTCTCAAAGATGTGATAAGGCGCTATATCAAATGCAAGGATTATTATTATTATTATACTCAATGACGCACTCATTGACCAGCAGATTGTATGTTCAGTCCTGGTCTGTTCTGGATTAATTGATTGATTTCCATTGGGGTTGCTACAAGTACAGGTAGCTCCAAAATAATAATAACAAAAATAATAATAGCAATAATGTTAATCATAATAATAATGTTTGCTTTTCATCCAGCACCTTATCACGTCATCGAGACATCTCAAAGAATTTCACAGAAAATATTGTAAAGTGGAGTGATAATAATAATAATAATATTGGTATTTTATGGTTGAATGTGACAGACAATTTGTGCATCGCAGTGTCCCAAAAACAGATCATAGCGTGAGTGACCAATTTTATTTGGGGGGGAATTGTTAACAGGAATAAACTCCTTTGTCTTTTGGAATAGTGGGACCTTTAACAGCCACCTGGTGCCGTCCGTGATAAGTGAGGACCATTCTCATCAGACAAACTATTCTTTATTTTTTCCACCCCGTACCTCAGCCGAAACCCTCATCCATACCTTTGTCACCTTCAAATCCCGCCTAAAGACCTTTCTTTTCAATCGTGCTTACTCTCACCTCCTGCCACCGCCCCCCCCACCACTCCTCCCCCCCTCCTCCCGGCTCGGGGTCAGACTCCGCCACTGTCAAGCGCTCTGGGATGCTACCCCATGTGAAGGGTGTTATATAAACACAAGATGTTGTTGTTTTGGGTACGCATTGAAGACACATTATACATTACATTTGAATTTATATATTCTGCGTTTAAAATGTTGATGTATCTGCCCGGATTTACCATTTTTTTGGGGGCTTGATGACTTGGGGACTGTCATTACAGGGAAAAACTCAGTTTCTGGGCTAAAACTGATGCATTCAAACCAATACACAAACCAATGCTTTGCTCATGCATATAAAAATCGGTAACATAAATCTTACCGTTCTGCCTCTGCGCTCACTCATTTTATCCCCGTCTGAAACACAGTTAAAAGCATACAGTTCACCTCACTGATCATAGATCATTAAGACAGAGGGAGAAATATTATCCATTACGTTATGCATTGACAGTACATTGTGAATAGTGTAATTAGGGAGAAACTGTTTCCTCTGGCGGGCGGGTGGGTCGGTAACCAGCGGACACAGATTTAAGATAATTGGCAAAAGGGGAGACCAGGAGAATTTTTAACCCAGAATGTTGTTACGGTCTGAAATGAAGCTGCCTGAAAAGGACACTGGAAACAGATTCAATGCCAAACGGGAATTGAAGAGGTACTTGAAGAGGAAAAAATTGCAAGGATGTGGGGAAAGAGTGGGGGAATGGGACTGCTTGCAAAGAGCCGACACAGACACGATGGGCTGAAGGGCCTCCTTCTGTGCTGTAATATTCTCCGATGTTATGATTCTATCTGCTTTGACTGATCAATTCTTCCGGTTTTCTTTTGAGCTTAACATTTGATGTTTCAAAAAAAATGCAGAGTTATTCAAATCTTTTGTTTTCACACAGATATATATAATCAGTCAGTGGAAGTTTTCTCCTTATTATTTATTAAAGGAGTGAGCTGAGATCAAGTCTACTCAAAAGCATGTGTGAAAAATTCCGAATTGAAAATTGAAATGAATAATAATAATAATAATCCTTGCTTTGATGTAGAGCCTCATCGTATCGTTGAGATATTTCAAAGGGCTTCATAGAATATACATTAATGTGAATTGACTGTGTATTTTGTGGGCGAAATGCGTCAACCAATTGCGCACAGCAGCGTCCCATAAACAGTCGTGGATTGAAGTGACCAACTTAATTTTTTTTAGGGATTATTAAACCAATTCATAATAATGATTAATAATAATGAATAATTAATACGTACTATTAAACATAATACCTAAAGTCAGGCTTGTGGCTTTAATCCTGAACTGAAACCCTCCTCTCTGTCTCTCTTCCCCTCTCACCTCCCTTCCCAACACACACACACACGTACGCACACAGTAAAATCCAGTCCACCACCTACCTCTTCCCCTTGTTACTTTAGTGCCGATCCCAGCATCAGCGATTTTTCTTGCTTGTTCCAAATTGGCCAGGAATTTCAGGATCTTCCCACGTTCGACTGCATCCACTTGGTCAGCTGAACCGCCCCAGACCCCTGGCAAAAGTCACCAAAAGAATCGTTCAGTATTTGGATTGATTTGTGTCGTTTGTCATTTGCTTTGGGTTAAAACACACACACACACACATAAACACGGTTAATAACCCCTTTCTTTCTCGTTGTTTTTCTCCGTCTTTAGGTCGCTCCACACTAGTGTGTTTTTGGGGATAAATAATGTGAGGAAGAACCTTTGCTCACATAGAAACCTGTTGCACTTGAATAAGCAAGAGCCTAGGTTTATCTCCTCACACCCTCTCACACACACACCTTCTCACACACAACCTCACATACACACCCTCTCACACACGCTCTAACATAGGCGCACACACATCCTCACACATACCCTCACACCCTCACACACAGCCTCACATACACACCCACACCCTCTCACACACGCTCTAACATATACACATACACCCTCTCACACACTCTCTCACACATCCTCACACACTCACACACACCCTCATACTCACACAAACTCTCACATAACCCTCACGCCCTGACACACACTCACACACACTCATACACCTCACCCCCAAACACACACACACACACAAACGCACGCGCACACACACTTACCCTCTCCCAGCTGTGTTTGCCCAGAAATCTGAGCGCCACAGACTGCTGCAACAGCAGCGAAGATGAGAAAACTCGTTAGAATACCCCAGCTCATCTCGGCTAACACTTGGCTTTATTTTTTTTAGGATGGTATCTTCCCCTTTGACTTAATCACTAATCAGCGCCTCTCTTCAAGGCTTGTCGTTGCTTCTCTGTCTCAGTCTCGGCGCCTGTCTCTTCCCCCTCTCCTCTCCCCAGTATTTAAACCTTTTTGCACCATCATTCACACACGCACACACATATATATTAAAAAAAGCACACACTCACACGCACGCACGCACACGCACACACACACACAAACTCAAACCAATTTGGACTTTTTGCCAATCTGCACCTTGACATTTGATGACCCGTTTCTCTCTTTCTCTTTTTGTGTTAATTCTGCCTTTTTTTAAAACGGGGAAGGGGGGGAGTGAGGGGTTGCAGCTGGTGGGTGGGGGCGCGGAGGTGGGGGTGGTGGTGGGGGAAAGCAGCTTCCTGCGTACGTCACATCGCCTTTCTAGTCTTGAGCAAACACATTAAACGTTCGTTATCGTTGCTTGAACAGAGGAATCCGACAAACATTGGTGTAAAGTCTCAGTGGCTGGAGGGGGTGGGAAAATCATTACCATCCACAACCCTTACAGTTATCTGCTCTAGTCTATCTCCCCACTCCACCCTGCACACAGCCTGCATATTAACGATGATCTTTGATTTACAAAGGAAGCTTTGAACTTTATTTTTTTGCAGTGACGTCAGTTCAGTCAACGCTTGCAAAGCGTAGAAGGGACCAAAAATAAACAGCGAGAGCTCAAAAGGAGGTCCTCAAGGCATCTAATCTGAATTAAACGGGACTCGAAGACAAGGGACTGGGTGGTCTGTAGGAGAGATCTGAATTGGCTAAGCAATAGTAATAATAATAACAATAATAATGACAATAATAATAATAATAAAAGATTCACTTCACATTTCAGAAGCTAAGTTGCTCCAAGCCTAAAATTAGGTAGGATATGGGCGCTGGCAAAAATGAATCATCAAACATATTGATTGCCCCATGTGGGCATTAATCTGCATTTTATGATTTTATTTATTACAAATCAATTTTCACGTTGTATATTTTGGAGCCAGAGGAGAGACGAATGATATAACTACACAAGAAGTAATCCCAATTCAATAAAATATGAACTTGAACTCTGAAGTATTTTGGACACAAATTCCAAATTATTATTATAATTATTATCGTTGCATTTGATACAGCGCCTGGTCACGTCTTCGAGACATCTCAAAGCGCTTCACAGAACATACTGTAGAATGTAGTGACTGTGTATTTTGTGGGCGAAACGGTGGGTTTTAGCTGGTTAGACTCCAGCAGTTAGCCCCGACACACACTCTGGGCTTTCCCCAAGCCTTGGCTCTCGCCAACCTACGCCTAATACTTTCTGGAATTAGATAAGCTGGATTAATCCCTCCAGGGAGAGAGAGAGAGAGAGAGAGTGCACATTCCATTCCAACAACCTATCTCTGGGATTTTTCCATGTGTACGTGGAATTCTCGGTTTGGTTTGGAGACTATCGAGCACGGTGATGGGTTTCCACGTATGTCAGACACCCGGTTGACCCCCAAAAAGCTAATTCAAATATAGAACGGGAGGGGAGATGGGGAGAGGAACATTCAGACCATCAGGCTGGGTTTCGAAACCTTATCGTGTCAATTCCACTTTCGATCTTCCATGCCCTGCCTTTGGGATGAGTCTTGTCTCTGGGTAAGAACATTGTGACATTGACCGAAAAGAGAAGACAAACTCACCCGATTTACAACAACAACAACTTTTATGTAGTGCCCTTCCCGTGGGGTAGGGTCCCAGAGCATTTGATACAACAACAACAATATTATATTTGTAAAAGCGCCTTTCACGGCGGGAGGACGTCCCAAAGCGCTGGACAGACAGAGTTTCGGACCCGAACTGGGGGTCGGGATCGAGGAGGGTGGAGAACAGTGGGGGAGAAGCAGGGAGATCGAAAGCACGGTCGAAGAGGAGAGTCTTGAGATGGGTCTTGAAGGAGGCGAGGGAGGGGTGAGGCGGAGGGACTCGGGGATGGAGTTCTAGTGGGTGGGGGCAGAGTGGCAGAAGCCCGGCTGCCAATAGTGGGGCGAGCGAGGCGGGAGACATGAAGCAGACCAGAGTCCGCTGAGCGGAGCAGAGCAGCGTCCACAAATAGCCACCAAGTCAATGACCAGTTTACTTGGAGGATTATTGGCCAGGATTCCGAAAGAAAGTTTCTTCGTTAATACCTGGACAGGCAGCCAAGACCTCGATATTATGTCTCTTTTGAAGCCAGTTTTAAGCGATTCTAATTTATAATAATAATATTAATAATCCTTGCATTTGGTAGAGCGATCGGGAGGATTTCTGAAAGCACTTCATGGGATATACTGTACCATTAAGTGACTATATTTTGTAGGCAAATGAGTTTCAATCTAATAATAATAATCTCGTAACGTAACATAATTGCAACATTATCAAACAACCTTCAACAGTGGGGAGTGTTAAACTGCAAAGAGGTTCAGATTAGATTACTTTACACAGAGAACAAGGTGAATATGTGAATTGGATGACTCAATGAAACAGTGGGTTGCATCAACAGCAATCAAATGCAACGATTATTATTATATTATAAGAGATTCAAGAGGGAGTTAGCTCGCTGGAGTATTTGGCCAAATAAAGAATATAATAATAGTAGTAACAATCCTTTCATTTGGTGTAGCGCCTTATCACGTATTCGAGACGTTTCAAAGCGCTTCACAGAATATACTTGAAAGTGCAGTGACTGTGTATTTTGTGGGTGAAATGCGGCAGCCAATAGCGCACAGCAGTGTCCCACAAACAGCCGTGGATTGAGTGACTCCCGGAAAAGCGATCTCCCAATCGACTACTTACTGCTGGGTAAAGGAACATTTCCCCCCTACCCAGGAAAGGCCATTTTCATCATAATAATAATAATCTTTGCCTGTGATACAGCTCCTTATCACGTTGCTCAGTTATCTCAGAGGGCTTTGCAGGATTTTACTGTAAAGCACTGTGTCGTGTGCATTTGTAGGAGGCAGCCAATTTGCGCAGGGCAACGTCCCATTATGTATTGCTTAGTAGCTTTTCAAACACCCCCATTCCAGGCTGACGGAGACACAGCTTGTGCTTGACATTAAATATTTGCACCTAGGCAATGTGACATCAGGGGCTGTGATTCAGAAGCCTCGTCAAACCACCGATGCTCATTCCCGCTTGTGGAGACAATAGCGGCACAGTGACAGACGGACAATGTCACTGGAAGTATGACGTGCACAAATCTCTTTTAAATTTAGCCAAAGCCTGCTCGCTTCCTGTCTCCCCCCCCCCCCCCCCACTCTCCCCCACTTCCCCTCACTCCGAAACAGAGCAGTTTGTAATGCAATTGATGTTTCATCAAGCCCTTTTGAAAGAACCAACTGTGGCTACAAAGAGCAACTGGTGGCAATTTACAAGGCTCGTCCTGTATAGTATTGGTTGAAGCGCTCGCCTTGCAAGCGAGAGGATCTGGGTTCGATTCCGGAGCAGGGCGAAGCTTTGGGCAAGTTTCCTTACTCCGCACTCCACACGTCTCAGTTTGCCTAGCAGTGAGTAGGAATCCGGTTGTTAGTCAATGGCCGGATGCTTTAAGGGGAAAATAATACTTATAAAAGGTTTTTTTACCCAAAAAATTATGATTTGGTCACTCTATCCACGACTGTTTGTGGGACGCTGCTGTGTGTAATTGGCTGCCACATTTCTCCCACAAAAGTCAATTAACTTTGCAGTGTATCCTGTGAAGCGCTTTGAGACGTCTCGAAGATTTGATCAGGCGCTGTATCAAAAGCAAGGATAATAATTATTATAATAATAATAATTTGGGATTTGTGTCCAAAATATTTCAGGGTTGAAGCTCATATTGGGATTACTTCTTGTGTAGTTATATCATTCATCTCTCCTCTGGCTCCAAAATATACAATGTGAAAATTAAATTGTAATAAATAAAATCATAAAATACAGATTAATGCCCACATGGGGCAATCAATATGTTTGATGATTCATTTTTGCCAGCGCCCATATCCAACCTAATTTTGAACTCGGAGCAACTTAGCTTCTGAAATGTGAAGTGAATCTTTCCCCATGTTATTCTTTATTTATGATTGCATTTAGAATGAAACAAAGCCCAATTGGCCTTTCGCCCACAAAATACACAGTCAGTTGACGTTGCAGTGTATCCTGTGAGGGGCTATGAGGCGTCTCGAAGACGTGATAAGGCGCTGTATCAAATGCAAGGATTATTATTATTATTATTTGGGAACCCGCAGCTCAGGAACTGGGAACACAAGC